AAACCTGAATCTAGCCAACTGCCACCAGTTCAAACAGCTTTAAGATAATCCCATTAAGTTCAGAATTTCTTTTTGAATAGCTTAAAGACAGTAGAGCTTAAAATTTGGGGGCTAAAAATGTAACTTAAGTGATCAAACCTAAAGGTTCATGAGAAAGATTTTAAATTTCTGAGAATTGATTTTTAAATGTCTGTGACTCATTTTCTGCTCTAAAAACTTCAATACCCAATGTTTGGGTTTTGAAAGGCAATGGATTTGGCTACAGAAAAGAGTTGACTCTTTCTCCATTTGGTTTTGGTTTGGCTTTTGGTTATTTTTGTTTGTGTTTTCTAGTTTATTTTATTACAATGCCTTGGCCAGGACTGTTCTCTCCCTGTTTGTCTGTTTTGTGAGGGCAGAGTAATGAAGGACTTTATTTTCTGTCTCCTTCATAGCGCTTTTCAAAGGAAGAAAAGAAGGGGGTGGAGGGAAGAGAGGGATTGGAAAACAGAAAACCAAGCCAGTGAACTCTGAACCAGAGAGAAACGTTACGGACGAGATAGGAGAGAGCAGGGTTTCCAGATGAATCACTACCAAGGCAGCTTTGCTCCTTTGATTCGAAAATGCATACTCACTGGGCATTTGTCCTAAAGATGCCACAGTGGGGTAGGAGCCCCACGAACAAGTCACCAGATCACGGAGTCCCCTGGGTAAATGGCATAGCAGAGTCACCACCCAGCTTTATTGGAGCTCAGAGGGAAGAGGACTAACCTAGATGGGGACGGGCAGACCAAGGGACAATTAAGAGGGGCTCTGCAGTTTGAGGATGATGAGGGCCACCGAGGGAAGAAGCCGCCTTTCAGACAGAAAAAGAGCCAGTGGAGAAAAACACATTGTGTATTCAGACTTGAGAGAACATCCAGTTAAAGTTTAGGGAGGGTGGGGTCAGTCTCTAGAGATGAGTTTGCAAAGTTTGTCGAGGGCCCTAGTACGAGGAGTGTGGTACAGGAGACCAAGAAGGGATCTGGGATAAAAATGGATTCCGTCTAGCAGGGAAATTCCAGGAGGGCTCTGGGGGAGGCGGTGGAGAAAAGGGACGAGCAGGACAACAGCTGGGGGAAGCCACCGTAATGATTAAAAGCCATAAATGAGGAGGGCTTGAACCAAGGCGGCGCAATGTTGTCAAAGGCAGCGGCGTCATTTAGGAATGGAAGTGGTTGAGCTCTGGGGAAGCCTAAATGCCCAGGCCAAAGAAAATGAGGAGAATCTAGGTTTCTGGTTTGGGAAGCTGGGGAACGGTGATCAAACAACGGAGGAAAAATCAGGATAAGACTCTGGGTGGATGGAAGCTCTTGACAAAAAAGGGGATTCAGAAGCCTCCAAGGGAGAGTTGAAAAGAAAGACCACGTTCCTGCTAAAGTCCATTATTCATTCATTTAACAAACACAGAGCATTACTGTGTACCAGGCAGGTACTGTACCAGGACGTGGGGATATGGCAGTGAACAAGACAACAGCTCCTGCCCTCATGAAGCCTATGGTGCTCTGGAGAATACTGGTGACAGTAATACCTATCATTCACTGAGCGCCAGGGCCTGTGTTAAATACTTTACTTGGATAATTCCACTTATAATCCTCATCACTTTAAGAAGTAGGTACCATAACTATCCCCATTCTATAGAAGAAGAAACAGGAGCGGTCAAATAACCTGAACAGCTAAAAGCAGCAGAGCCAGAACACAAACCCAGCCAATTTCGTGCTAAAGCCCACTTTCTTAACATCTCACATGTGACCGAGGTGAAAAAGAGGCTGGTTTCCAAGGAAAGAAAGTGGAGGCTGAGAAAAGCCTTGCCACCTTCTGAAAAATAAAAAACAAACAAACAAAAACCCCAGCTATTCCTGAGTCCTGTGGCAGTTCTGCAGATACCCCAGGCCAGGGCGCAGCCAGGCCCCCGGAGGAGCTCTATTTGCCCAGATCTGGTGCTCAGTCCTGGGTGCAGAGTCCTTCGTTTGAAGCATGTTGAGCCTCTTCAGTCTATCACACCCCTCCAAGTCTCCATGCCAATCCCCTAACACTGACAGCTTCCATCACATCTTCCGCCAACTAATGCAGTTTGTGCTTGGAAAAAAAAAATTATTTTATAACTCCAAGGACATTAATAATTAACATCCATATCACAAAACTTGTAATATCAGTTTGCTGAAATAAAGTCCCCAGTAAGTATGTAATTCTTCTTTAAAGGGTGTCTTCTATTATTATTATTTTAGAGTGCAATTTAGTCATCAAAGGTTTACTCAGCCTCATGTTTATAAATTATACAGGGCAGGGATTTAACTCTTCTGGACCTACCTGTTCTGAAAAGAGGGAGGGTCATAACCCTGTTGTCACACCGGGCACCTGCCTTGAAAGGAGATGATTTGTGAACTTGAAGTTCCTTACCACTTTTAGAAATCCAGGGCAAATATAGAGATCTCACTTTATGATGCAATCAGAGTAATAACCAGATCGTTGCCTGCCACAAAGTGACACCGGCTTTACTCCTCCTGAAGGCTGTTTGGAAACTACAAGTTCATCTTTTTAATTGAATTTCAGAATCTTGTCTTGATTTGATGACATAAGAATAGTGTCTTTCCAATTCATCTGTGTAATACTGTTTTTTCACTGTGGTGGTTACCTTTGTTGAAGGGGAAGGGTTACTGCTTTAGAGAAAGAAGAGCAAAGCAGAAAAAAACCCCTCATGTACTCACTACTTAAGTTAGAAACTCCAAGTCCGGATTTAGGTGTTTACATGCCTAGGGAAATGGCTACCAATCAAGGCCTCATCCAAGTCCACTGGGGTTTAGGAACTTAGGCCGTGATGGAAAAGCGTATAACATTTTCATGCAATCCTTGAGTTCTAGCATACCAAGAAATTTTTGCCATCACAATGAAAGGAGTGGGGGGAGGGGTAGCAGGTGTTTTCCTTTCTTGCTTTCTTCCTTTGAAAAGGGCAATGTTTTCAGAGTTAAAGTAACTGGCCTGCTCCTATGGAGTGAGGTTGAACCCTCCAGGTCGGGCTTTCCCTGCCAAAGCATCCCCCCCCCCCCACACCCCCCCCCAATGGAAGCCTTGGCTAGAGGATGGAAGTCATCTTCAAATTTGTCCAACTCTCTAGATCTAGAGGGATTCCTGTCGTTGGCAGAGAGGGCCGAGTGGATTCATCCGGGATGAGGTGCATTCCAAGAATGCTTCTGTGGTCGGCAAGAAGTGGAAATTCAGGGCTAACAAATACTCTTAGGAAACCTAATAGGTACCAGAATCGCACAACTCAAACAGGTGACAACGACTTAAAAGTATGAGGCAACTAGAGAGCTCAATGACAGTGAGCGGACACTCCGTCCAGTGTTGGGGCTTCGACCCTTTTCCTCCTCCCCTTGTCTTTCCTGGGATCGACAGCGTTTACTGGTGAGGAGGTTCCCTGGAAGAGCCTCCGTGGAGGCGGATGGAGCCCGGCTCTGTGCGCCTCAATCCAAACCAAACACCTCGCAAGCCTACGTTTAGCAGGTGATACCGAACACCACACTCACGTTTGGGAAAGAAAAAAAAAAAAAGTCACTGTTTGTAGAGATGAGGGCGAAAACATTTCCCGGCTGGAAAATTACTGATCACAAACTTAGGGGAGTGTGGGGGTGGGGAGGCAAAGTTGTAAGACTGAAATAACGATTGCCGTTTCCTCTTCTCTTCCCGGTGGGCAGGAACGACTGCCGCCGAGCTCGTTGTGCCTTTTTCGGGAACCGGGGTCCCACCGCACCGCTCCACTTCCTGGTATGTGGCCACTTTCCAGCTAAGTGCCTCTCGGTGGGCTTGACCGCTCGGAACCTGAGCCAAGGGAGCTAGCTCCCCGTCTGACCTTTACCTCGCCATTTCACCTTTTTATGACTCAGTTTGCCCATCCGTAAAGTGGAAAGGAGGGTGCGCGGCTTGTAAAGTGCTCGAGATTCCCTGGTTGAAAGGTGTCTGCGCCTCACGGCCCCTCTGCCCTCCTCCACCCCACAAAGTCAGTCTTGAGCTCTCTCACTCCCTTCCTGGCTCCCCGAAATATAAAAACCGTAACTCCGCTTCCCGCCCCAACATCTTTCCGCCCTTTCAGGCCTTCTCGGGCTCCCAGTCCCGCCACAGAGCCGGGCACCCACCTCTCCCTGCCTCCCACCCCCACCCCCACCCCACCCCAGCCCACCCAGCCGGAGAACCCACGAAGAACCCCGCGAGGCCAGGCCAAGCGCACGCACTGGCGCTCCGAGACCAGCGCCGGGCTGCTGCGTGCGCCGGAGAGGGACGGCAGGCTGGATGAGTCACGCGGATAATCGCGCTTTTCTCTGGCGCGCAGACGGCGCGGACGGGAGCGGGGGTGGGGGAGCGGAACCGACCCCTCAGCCCCTACCAGACTCCTCCGCCACGGGCTTCGAACCCACGGAGCTGACCACCGCGACGCAGGCTGCCCCGGTCGCATGGCGACCGCACTTGCGCCCAGTACCCCGCGCCCCGACCGCCGGCCGCCGCCGACGCCGCCGCCGCCGGCGTCAGCGCGGCTCCTGCCCGCCAGCTGCCGGGCTGGCGTCACGGCTCGGCCGGGCCCCGCCCGCGCCCCTCCCTCCCTCCCCCCCCGCCCCTCCCTCCCCCGCCCCCACGTGCGCCGAGTTTGTTTATTTAGCTGCCATGGCAACGCGCGGGGGGGCCCCAGGAGGGAGGGGAGAAGAAAGGGAGGGGCGGGGCCTGGCGGCGGGCCGTGGCGTACAGCGGGTAGGAGGCGGGGGTAGGGCGGGAGCCGAGAAGTTAAGTAAGGAGTGCGCGGCGGCCGCCGGCAGTTCCCCGGCCCGAGAGAGCGAGCGCGGCTGCGGGCGCGCGGGGAGCAGAGGCGGTGGCGGGCGGCGGCGGCGGCACCGGGAGCCGCCAAGTGCCCCTCCCCGCCCCTCAGGCCCCCCACCCACCTACCCGCCCGCGGCCAGCGCCCATGGCCGCGCGCGCCCCGCGCAGCCCCCCGGACTCCGCGCCCCGCGCCGCCGCCCAGTCCGCAGATCCGCGCCACCGCGGCCAGTCTCACCTGGCGGCGCCGCCCGCCCGCCAACCCGGCTACAGCCCCAGCGCCCACGGCGACAGCCGCGGCGACCGCGACAGTGGTGGAGGACGCTGCTGAGTCGAAGAGCGCGCAGCTCGGCCGCCGGACCTACTTACTCGCCTTGCTGATTGTCTGTTTTTACGAGTTTACAACTTTTCTAAGAACTTTTGTATACAAAGGAACTTTTTAAAAAGGCATCTCCCGTTTATATTTAGTCCAAAGAAGGATCTCGGGCAATTTGGGGTTTTTGGTTTTGGTTCGTTAAGTTTTTCTTTTTTCCCTCTTCGTTGACTTTGGGGTTTGGGTAACCCCACTGCTTCGGACTCCCGAGGACCTTCTGGGCCCCCACATTAATGAGGTAGGTGCGGCGCGGGGCGCAGGGAGGGGTGAAGGCCGGAGGCCGGTGGGACGCGCCCGAGCGGCGGTCGAGAGTGGCCCCCTGACTTCTGCCTCTGTGCCCCGCCCGGCCCGCAGGCAGCCACCTGGCGAGTCTGACATGGCTGTCAGCGACGCACTGCTCCCGTCCTTCTCCACGTTCGCGTCCGGTCCGGCGGGAAGGGAGAAGACACTGCGTCCAGCAGGTGCCCCGAATAACGTGAGTATTGTCGCGAAAGGTCGGCAACGTCCAGGGGACTTCTGTGGGTGGGGTGAGGACGAACGGAGCCCAGGGGTCAACCCAAAACCACCCGGCGAGGGGAAGGAGTGGCCACCGCACTTGGCCCCGCAGTCTTCCTAGGATGGCTTCCGCGCCCTTGGCTTAGTTGTACATGCGTGTGGTCCGGACACTGCGGAGCCGCCGGGGGCGCACACCCGGTCGGCACACGTCTCCTAGCTCGCAGGCGGCAGGGCTGGCGCGGTGGCCACCGGGCGGGAGGTGGATGTGTCCCTGCACACGGGCTGGGCCCGAGTGAGCTTGGCGCGTAGGCGTACCCGCGGCGAGGGCGCATAGGGAGATCCTCGTGTCCCAATTCCAGGGGTGGCAGGAGCGTCCCCGGGATCTGGCTGGGGAAGGACCCGGGCTGTCGAGCCGTGGCCCTTGCTCACACGCCATCGGGCAGACAGAACATAACATCCTCCAAACCAACGCCGGGGGTGGGCCGAGATTGCAGCGCTGGCACCCGGAGTCCCCCGGCGCTTTGTCTGCCCAGTCCCGGTGCCTGGGCAGTATAGGCGCGGCCGGCCCGCCAGTATGTAGTGTTGGTAGCAGGGGACCGGCACCGACGGTCTCTCTCCCGTCCTGTTCCCGCAGCGCTGGCGGGAGGAGCTCTCCCACATGAAGCGACTTCCCCCGGTGCTTCCCGGCCGCCCCTATGACCTGGCGGCCGCGACCGTGGCCACCGACCTGGAAACTGGCGGAGTCGGCGCGGCTTGTGGCGGCAACAATCCTGCTCTCCTACCCCGGAGGGAGACGGAGGAGTTCAACGATCTCCTGGACCTGGACTTTATCCTCTCCAATTCCCTGTCCCATCCGGAGTCCGTAGCCGCCACCGTGTCCTCGTCGGCGTCAGCCTCATCCTCGTCCTCCCCATCGAGCAGCGGTCCTGCCAGCGCGCCCTCCACCTGCAGCTTCAGCTATCCGATCCGGCCCGGAGGGGACCCGGGCGTGGCGCCGGGCAGCACTGGCGGCGGCGGCCTCCTCTATGGCCGGGAGTCCGTGCCCCCTCCCACAGCTCCCTTCAACCTGGCGGACATCAACGACGTGAGCCCGTCGGGCGGCTTCGTGGCTGAGCTCCTTCGGCCCGAATTGGACCCAGTGTACATTCCGCCGCAGCAGCCGCAGCCGCCAGGTGGCGGGCTGATGGGCAAGTTTGTGTTGAAGGCGTCGCTGAGTGCCCCTGGCAGCGAATACGGCAGCCCGTCGGTCATCAGTGTTAGCAAAGGCAGCCCGGATGGCAGCCACCCGGTCGTGGTGGCGCCCTACAGCGGCGGGCCACCGCGCATGTGCCCCAAGATCAAGCAGGAGGCGGTCTCGTCGTGCACCGTTGGTCGGCCCCTAGAGGCCCACTTGGGCACTGGACCCCCTCTCAGCAATGGCCACCGGCCGCCAGCGCACGACTTCCCCCTGGGGCGGCAGCTCCCCAGCAGGACTACCCCGACCCTGGGTGCTGAGGAACTGCTGAGCAGCAGGGACTGTCACCCTGCCCTACCGCTCCCCCCGGGCTTTCATCCCCACCCGGGGCCCAACTACCCACCCTATTTGCCGGACCAGATGCAGCCACAGGTCCCACCGCTCCATTACCAAGGTCAGTCCTGGGGATTCATAGCTCGGGCTGGGGAGCCCTGCGTGTGCGGGCTCTCCGGGGCGCAGGGACCGATGCTGACCCCACCTTCTTCACCCCTAGAGCTCATGCCTCCCGGTTCCTGCATGCCAGAGGAGCCGAAACCAAAGAGGGGGAGAAGGTCGTGGCCCCGGAAAAGGACAGCCACTCATACTTGCGATTATGCAGGCTGCGGCAAAACCTACACGAAGAGCTCTCATCTCAAGGCGCACCTTCGAACCCACACAGGTAGAGCAGAAGCTGCGCGGGGCAGTGGGGGGGAGGGGGTTGGTGTGCAGCCCATTGGCTAACTGTGGGCACTTCTCAGGGCCTCCCTTGGGATGTGGGGCACAGTCTATCTCCTCCATCTCTTGGATCACAGGAGAGAACAGCAAACCAAACTGGCGCCTCCTTTTTTGCCTGAGAGCCTTTTGCTTGATGGATGGTATCAAGTGCTTGAATGTGCAGTTCTGTTAGGCTTTTGAAAGGCAGGGAGAGTCCAGGCCGCTTGTGGGCCTCTCCTCGTTTGAGCAAAACATTGCCCTTGTAATCAAGAAATTACACTTCGGGGGCGCCTGGCTGGCTCAGTGGAGGGTGCAACTCTATCACGAGTTTGTGGGTTCCGGCCCCAAGTTGGGTGTAGAGATTACTTAAAAATAAAATCTTAAATTACACGTTGCAGTGCAAAAGTATGTTAGGTCTTGTTATCAGTTTTTTAATTTTTAGGCAATTTTCACTGGTTGTTCCCAGATGCACACTCCCTTTTTTATTTTTAGTTCTAGCCTTCATAAGTAGGTTCTGTTTGAATTTCCAGAATTGAATGGTTATGATTGTGCTTTAAGATGGTCACTTGGAGAGAATTTTTCATGTCCTATAAGTATAGGTACATAAGGTCATTTAGGTGTAGGATTCATTAAAATAATAGAAATGTTGATGCAGAAAAAGTAGCCGCTTATGGCTTTTTCGACCCAGTTGTAGTGGGATATAGGATGTGATCACTTGGTTTGGACGGGAGAGACCGTTCTAAATTAACTTCCATCACCATGGTACTTCGGGTCAAAAGAATGAAAATGTTAGCGATATATAAGTGTAGGAAGTGTAGGTCTGTTCCCCCCCCCCAAAAAAAGGGCAAGAAATACTTTTAATATTCCTATTTATGATCTGAAATTGAAGATGGCCTTGAAGTGGTCTAAAAACGTGGCTGGCTCTTTTCAGAGTAGGGTGCTTGGGGAATTGGTTTGATATTCGGCCTCCAGTTTGGCCAGTTCTGCGTTAGGTAGCAATGGCTTCACCGCGGTTTCTTTTCCTCCCCCAGGTGAGAAACCCTACCACTGTGACTGGGACGGCTGTGGGTGGAAATTTGCCCGCTCCGACGAACTGACGAGGCACTATCGCAAACACACCGGGCACCGCCCCTTCCAGTGCCAGAAGTGCGACCGGGCCTTCTCCAGGTCGGACCACCTCGCCTTACACATGAAGAGGCACTTCTAAATCCCCAAACAGTGGATATGACCCACACTGCCAGAAGAGAATTCAGTATTTTTTTTTGACCTTTCACAGTCTTCCCCCCACCCCCCCGCCGCGGGCGGGGGTTGGGGGGAAGGAACCCAGCTGGAAAGCACTACAATCATGGTCAAGTTCCCAACAAGCCAACTTGTGAATGGATAATCAGGAGACACAAACCAGAAGACAAATCAAAGAACCGATGGGGTCTGTGACTGGATCTTCTATCATTCCAATGCTAAAGCCAACTTGAATATTCTTGGACTTACAAAACACCAAGGGGGTGACTGGAAGGTGTGGATATCAGGGTATAAATTAGATCCATGAGTTGGGGGGAGGGAAGACCAGAATTCCCTTGAATTGTGTTTCGATGCAATATAAGCATAAAGATCACCTTGTATTCTCTTTGCCTTCTAAAAGCCATTATTACGATATTAGAAGAAGAGGAAGAAATTCAGGTACAGAAAATGTGTTTTTAATAACCTAAACGATGGTGCTTGGTGAGTCTTGGTTCTAAAGGTACCAAATGAGGAAGCCAAAGTTCTCAAACTGCTGCATACTTTGACAAGGAAAATCTATTTTTGTCTTCCGATCTACATTTATGACCTAAGTCAGGTAAATACGCCTGGTTTATTTTAACATTTTTATGCAGACAGTCTGTTATGCACTGTGGTTTCAGATGTGCAATAATTTGTACAATGGTTTATTCCCAAGTATGCCTTAAGCAGAACAAATGTTTTTTTCTATATAGTTCCTTGCCTTAATAAATATGTAATATAAATTTAAGCAAACTTCTATTTTGTATATTTGTAAACTACAAAGTAAAAAATGAACATTTTGTGGAGTTTGTATTTTGCCTACTCAAGGTGAGAATTAAGTTTTAAATAAACCTATAATATTTTATCTGAACATTGCTTTTGTTCTATTTCTCCCCTGGAAAAGCATGTCATAGAAATTGCAGTTTAAAACACAGGGCTCGTGAAAAGCACACTGAAAGGCCAAACTTTTATCTCAACAAGAGATTAAAAGACATTTTTAAGGCTAGTTTTACAGTGAGTACTATAAGAGTTGTGACACTAAAAGCTGAATATCGGAGATCATAGAAGTAAATGTCACCTGGTTGGTTGCTCATGAAAGCAATTTCCTTACCTGAATATGAATTTCCAGTTAGAAACTGCTCATTCTTCAGTATGCTCAGTTTTTTATAGGAAAGTATAAAATACACAACATTCCAATTTCATATTTTAAGAGATCCTTATGGTTTCTCTTTAAAATTAAATGAAAATATAAAAATCTTTCTCAGGGGCTGGGCCTTGCACTCAGAACAGTTGGAGGAACAAAAGAACCTTCCCACAGCAGAGAACCCTAAGAATGTAGTCCCACAGTGCCCTCCTGAGGATTAAAGTATTCATTTATGCTTCCTGTGTGCTACAGATATGTGCTGTAGTCCTCGAGGTTAGAACCAAATTTTCTGGCAGAATGTTTTAAAACTTCATCTGTCCTCTAGATTAAGCAGACTGAAACATGTTAGAAACCACTCAGTCACAAAACTTTTAATAAGTGTAAAGTAAATTTCAGTACATCTTTTAAGTGGTGTTTTTGTAAGCTGGTCGCATATTTCTTAAGTTACTCAGCTTTAAAACTGCACTGATCCTTTTTTGAGGTCAGTACACAAGAGTTTGAATTTTGTTTGTGGGGGTTACAAAATGGAAAAAGCATTTGTGACCCTTGTTGGCACTTGATACATTTGTAATGGTGATGTGGGTGACCAACATTGTCAAGCTGACATCTTTAGGCTGCTTATTAACTATCCATTATATGGAGTATCCAGAAGTGTGGGTGCATCTTATAAATAGAAAACAAATTCATAAGAGCCTCATGGTGGATCAACACAAAGTATTTTCCTTGGCTTTTAAGAGTCCAGCATGACGAAAACATGGCATGTGTCTTAGCTTAAAAGAAAACAGGTGCATCAATAGGATGGAATTTTATGTGGCCAAGAACATATTCAAGGCATATTTAATGACATGGAAAAATGCTCATGGTATGTTAAGTGGAAAAAGCAGGATCTAGGAGTATAAACATAATTCCAATTGTATAAGTTGGTGTGTGTGCATTGAAGGAGAGAGGGAAGCACCAGAAGCTTTGAAGAGGAAGGACTGGAAGGAAATGCCAAAATATTAATACTGGTTTTCTCCATTTAAATTTTCTACAGTTTCCAAATAAGTATTTAACATGGGAAAACTTTTTAAGAATGCAGGTGCAAATATTTAGGCTTGATTTTTTAAAAGAGCAATTAAAGCCATTTAAAAAGCCTACACTGGAATGCATTTTTGTGTTACCTTGTGGTTGTTGCTCTTGTAATCCACTTTTCTCTTAAACAGAGACTTCTGGCACACGGTTGTGTATGAAAAGTGTTTACTGAATGGCTGATACCATCTTCATGTTTGCCAAGTGCCTATTACCTCAAATAGGAGAAACATCCCTGAATACCAGAACGTATTAATTAAAATTTTTCTGATGTCATAGGGAAACATCACTTGCATTAACCTTTTCTAGCCTAAAAAAGCAAGCTTCAGTATTCACAATGAATAAGGAAGATTTTCTGAAAATGGTACAGGACAAAACTATCAACATGCACAAATAGCTAACACTATTTACTCTCGTACCTATCAGTTCTGAGTGCCGAGCTGTCCTGTCATTACCACATTACAGAGCCGTTTATACCGTATGATAAATAGCACCTAACAATTGAGATGCCTTCTTACTACATTTTCTTACGACATTTAATTTTATATGTCCTAGATTTTAACTTGTGCACAAACACACAAGATGAACAATAGTGTTTCCTACACATCAACAGACTTTTTCCAGTCTATCTCTTCTTGTCCAGCAAAATTCCCTTTCCAGCAAAATATTCTTTCTACCTGAAAGTCTGCTTAACTTCCTACAATTAATTGTTTCAGTTTGTTAAAACAGGAACCTTCACCATCTCAAGTACGATGGTTGAGGGAATAATTTTTTTCCATTCCAAAACTGTTCCAGTTTTTAGGAACATGCAATGTTATTTCATATTTGGAGATTAACAATTTTTACATATAATTGCTTTACATATAAGAAAGCCCAGGTGAGGCAGTCCTTTTGCCTTGGAAGCAAGTCCACAGGGAAACTATTAAAACAATCAGTGAGTGATGGTACCTGTTGTATTTTGATATATGGGAGTATCTAAATTTAACAGCGTATGTCAGCTACCTGTTCTATTGTATGTTCTGGCTTCTGAAGCCCCATTCAACACACCACCACACATACCTAAGTGAATTTGTAGTCCATATTCTAGTTTCTATGTGTTCTATTTCTTCATATTTTCTTAGCACCTTCTAGAGGCTAGTGTATAGTGATATGTTTTTTGGGGTTTTTTTTAAGATTTTATTTGTCAGAGAGTACAAGCAGGGGGAACGGCAGGCAGAGGGAGAAGCAGACTCCCCACTGAGCAGGGAGCCCGGATGAAGTACTCAATTCCAAGACTGTGGGATCATGACCTGAGCTGAAGGCAGACACTTAACTGACTGAGCCACCCAGACACCCATAGTGACATGTTTTTATAGGGCTAAACTGAATATGCTTCCTAAAGTTTGTTTATGAAACTATCATTCACTGTTCACGTGCAGAGTCATTCAACAATATTTCATATAAAACTACCAAGAGCTCTCTACCTAATGAATGCTGTGGAATATATCATGGAATGTTCTACCTGTGAAAATGCAAAGGAACTACTGTTAAATCAGAATGCTGTATGAAAATAAAGCCTCTTTTTTTTTTCATATTAAGTGAAACTAAAACGGAAGTTGGAAACAAACACCCTTCAGAAGCCTTTACCTTAGAACAAAAAAGTAAATCTTGAGTAAATTTCTTACCATCTCCTGAAAAACTAATCTTAAATCCTGATGAAGTTACCTAGAGCGTCAATGCCCTGGTTGCAGTCAAAACCCAGAGGAAACCAACTGCTGCCATGTTAGCATAAACACAGAAACTCTTTCGGGTTAATATCTAGGAGGATCCCAGAGCCAGTTAGCTTAGCCGGGCAGGAGGAGGGCACCTAGGGTAGGAGCATCAATCAAACCGCTTATCTGGAATCACGTACACTGGGAGTCCACCTTTTTAATTGTTTTCCACGATACCATTGATGCAATACTTCTTCGAATCGCTTCGGTCTTCTCCGGCACCCCAGACAACTCAGCATGTTGCAACCTGCCCTCCCAAATGTCCTCCACTTGTTCTTAAAGGAAAAGGAGGAAATAAATACAACCTCACAACAACAAAAAGTAACTTCACATTTCCAGGATCCCTTTGACATCTGATTATACCTAGCAGAGCTTTTCTCACTGATACCGCACAATTTTTATAATGATACCCTAAAGCGTGAGGACCATTTGTCATCCTTTTATGTTTCTTTTCATGTCCATCGTACATGATATCATCTAAACAGAACAAAAGACAAGAGAAACAGCTCTTTATGGAGACATAGGTAGGTAGGTAGGTAGGTAGATAGACAGACTAACCGATATATGGATGGAGCCTCAGGTGGAGGTTTGGCAATGATCTAAAGTCAATGAGGGCCAACAGTCAAACCTGTCCAGCCCAGGGGGGTTGAGTGGGGTTCTAAAACCCATGTCACCTATGATATTTGAATCTGTACTCACTGGCATTGGATCAACAGGTTACTGAATGGTGGCCAAACCACTGCGACACTCAGATGCTATATCTGCATACCCACTTAAAAGCTAAAATTGGTAAGTAATTTACAGAGATACTGAAGGAACTCTAGATACACTCGCTGAAAGCTAGGAGGTAAGTGAATCGGTGTCAGCCACAAGCAGAGTCCCCTAGACAGGACAGATGGAAGGGACTGTTTCAGGAAGCATGTCTCCTGTCTGATCAGGTCACTTTGCTGGTGTATAGTAACCCCTTCTGCACACCCTGGTGAGACCTCTGAAGCCTGTACACTCTCCTTTACTTCCAGCAGATACTCACGACGAAGGTAGGGATGAAAGGGGAAACTGAGGTTCCCTTTACGAGTTAGTGTTTGGTTTTTGTTTCTCATTCTTGCTGACATACTCAAGGCATTTTTCTCCTAATACTCCCGTCTTCAGCCTGCTGGGCAGGTAAGTTACAAGCAAAATGGATATTCCCCAATTTAGAAGGATTTGCCAATATCCAGGTTCTTCCAATAAACCCTCTAAAGAGTCAAAAAGGCCCAGACTTTCTGCCTCCCAACCAATGTGCTATTTCGAGGCAGACTAACAGGGAAGCCTGAGTTTCCCACAGATGTTTCTTTTTATTTTTTCTTTTTATTTTTTTTTAAAGATTTTATTTATTTATTTGAGAGAGAGAGAATGAGAGATAGAGAGCATGAGAGGGAAGAGGGTCAGAGGGAGAAGCAGACTCCCTGCTGAGCAGGGAGCCTGATGTGGGACTCGATCCCAGGACCCTGGGATCATGACCTGAGCCGAAGGCAGTCGCTTAACCAACTGAGCCACCCAGGCGCCCCCCACAGATGTTTCTTAAGCTGGTCACCATACCAGGAGCACAATCTATCCTTGGAGTTCGAGGTAGAAGAAAAAGTTCCTGTTTTGATCCCCAGCTCTGACCTAGCACACAGCTCTCCTGGTCAAACAGATCTGGCCACTCTGTCCCTTACTCCTTAACCTCCCATGGTCCCCAGTTCCTAGGGGATAAAGATTTAACATGGTCAACCTTCCAACTATGGCACCTACCTAGTGTCCAGTATTCTCTCCTTAAATATCCAATCACTCCTTAATTGACCCCCCAAAGCACCATGCCTATTTCAGCCTCTGAGCCTTTGCTTGCAGATGTGGGTCTCTGCTGCTTCTGGAAAAAACCATAGTCCCCTGACAGCTCCTATATATCCTTCAAAGCCCAGCTTTTTTTTTTTTAAAGATTTTTTTTTTTTTATTTGTTAGAGAGAGAGAGCGTGGGCAAGAGAGAGTGAGAGAGAGTACAAGCAGGGGGGAGCTGCAGGCAGAGGGAGAAGCAGGCTTCCCACGGAGCAGGGAGCCTGATGCAGGACTTGATCCCAGGGTACTGGGATCATGACCTGAGCCGAAAGGCAGACGCCCAACCGACTGAGCCACCCGGGCGACCCTCAAAGCCCAGCTTTTATTAAAAGTCTCCTTCATTTCAGTTGATCTAGATCTTTCATTAAACTCTTATCCTCACGTAGTACAAGGTTTCATGGGTCTGGCTCCTCCAATAGATACGAGTTCCTGGAGGGCACTGGAAACTTTCCTTATTTGCCCTTAAATACCCAAAGTTACTGGATTTAATTGAAAAAAATTAATCAGTTATTGAATAGTTAGCCCCCAATCCTGGCATCTCTTTTCAGAGGACTCTTTCTTGCCAGGTGAATTTCTGCATTGATTCTGGAAAGAATTTTGTTCATTTAGGGGGTTTGTTGTGGTTTGGGGGAGGCAGATGGGTGTCAGGTGACCCACAGGAAACAGGGGACCACTGGGCATGGCCTTCAGGAAGGCAGAATTTGGAAAAAGTCCCCAAAAAGGCAATGTTTTAGCCTCATCTTTGGAGGTCTATTGTGCGTCCTTTCAAGGGTAAAATTTAAGTGTCCTGTATGCCTATGACATGAAGGTTTTTTTTTAAAATCACACTTTAAAAGCTTAACAAAGGGATGCCTGGGTGGCTCAGTCAGTTAAGCGTCTGCCTTTGGCTCAGGTCATGATCCCAGGGTCCTGGGATGGAGCCCCGCATCGGGCTCCTTGCTCAGCAGGGAGTCTGTTTCTCCCTCTGCCTGCCTCTCCCCCTGCTTGTGCTCTCTCTCTCTCTCTGGCAAATTAATAAATAAAATCTTTAAAAAATAAAAAAAATAAAAAAAAATAAAAGCTTAACAAAGGCACTTTACACTGTAGGTTCCTAGGTGAGCCAGTCTACCTGAATAAGGAAGGGTCATCCATCTGTGGCTGTGAAACCACCACCCACCTGGTTTGCCACTCTTCAAGCTTGAAACTCTCCTTGCTGCTTGCATGACAGCAGTTTTCTGACTTCTGAACATGTCTAAGTAAACTGAATCTAGAAAACAGTGCATGAAGTTGACAAGTGCCTCCTCTCTGCCTCACAGAGGAATGGGGAACAGACTGCAAGCTGTAAAGCTATAAAATTACATAGACATTGAAATAAATAAATAAATACATACATACATAAATAAATAAAATCACATAGACTTTCTGAGCAGGAAAGTGTCTTCAAGATCATTTAACTCCAGGGGCGCCTGGGTGGCTCAGTCCTTAAGCGTCTGCCTTCGGCTCCGGTCATGATCCCAGGGTCCTGGGATCCAGCCCTGCATCAGGCTCTCTGCTCTGTAGGAAGCCTGCTTCTCCCTCTCCAGCTCCCCCTGCTTGTGTTCCCTCTCTCGCTGTGTCTCTCTCTGTCAAATAAATAAAGAAAATCTTAAAAAAAAAATCCTTTTAAAAAAAAAAAGATCATTTAACTCCAGGAGAAAATGGAGGCCCATCTAAAAGACTAGCTTGCCCAAGGTCACATCAAGTTCAGATCAGAACACCAACCACTACCTCAGTCTCCGTTAACAGGCCAGCAGCTGACGGCTGTATCCTGAGAACCGAAGGGAAGATTAGAGGGGCATAAAGAATTTTAAAAAACACCATGCAAAAAGGATGGTTTTAAAGGAAAGTTCTGGTGCTTGCTTTGGCAGCCCATACATTAAAACTGGAACAAGACAAGAAGATTAGCTTGCCCCCCCCATGTGAGGATGACATGCAAATTCATGAAGTGTTTCATATAATAAAAAAAAAAAGAAAAAAGAAAGGAAGGAAGGAAGGAAGGAAAGAAGGAAGGAAGAAAAAAAACAGAGGGAATAAAAAACATTCTAAATTCAGAGTCGCATTGTGAGCTGATGTCCAAAAAAAGTATTTCATTGTTCTCTATAGTACTTCTATTAGTGTTGTGCTATCAGCCCTTAAGTCAGGTACTACAATACTTACCACTGTTCCCTTCTATGGAGAACATAGGAGCCATTCCATAAAAGTGTTAATATATATTTCTGGTTTTGTTCTGCTTCTTTCTCTTCCCCTGCAGTTCTGTTCAAACATATATAATCTGCTCAAAGACCTACTTGACCAGCCACTGCTGCAAAGGGCAGGGGAACCAAAGATGAATAAGAATATATAAATATGAAAGTCTGCAGATATTTTTTTCCTGGTATCCTTGCCCCATAGAGGGTATAAAATGTAACTTAAGTCAAAATCAGCATCCTAGCCAGTAAAAATTGTTTACCTCTCTTAGAAAGTGATCGGATAGTTCTCTGACAGACTCAACCAAATTAACTATAATGACATATACCCTTTTTTTCCCTACAATTTTCTTGATTGCTTATTATTTTAGATACATCCAACTTGTTTATCAGGTGCATGTTAAAGCATGTTAAAACGTGTTATTCAGGTTTAGCATGAAGGTTTCAGTCTTATTCAACAAAACATTTTGAACTTCTGTTGGAATTAATGATTCAGGCAAAATGAAACAATCTGCAAACCAAGACACCTTTCTATGGTTTTGGCGATTGTATATCTAGACCAGGGGGACAGGCTGATTTTGTTTTAGGCACAATTAACTTTATAGGTAGGGAGCATAACTGCCATCTAAGGCTCTTTTGGTGCCAAAGCTTGTAGAAACAGAGGAGTCTTTGCCTAAGGGATTCTTTGCATTAAAGACTTTGTTAGGCAAAGCCACTCTGGCATGGGAGTCTGATTTGCAATTTGTGCCTTTGTAAAAGGATTAGAATATCCCTATTGTTTAATGTTTGGATCTCAATTTGCATTTGGAAATGCATGACCTCTTCCAGGTTTAGAGTTCTTTATTTTCATTTTCTTGTCCTGATACACAATCGATACTATATGTTAAAAAATTGATAAAACTGGTTGGCTGAATGTTTGCACTAATTAAGGGAGTGTGATAGATTGATTTTCTCTATGAATGGTGGAGTCTACTTGGGCTCTGGCAATACTGATCGAGTAATCTATTTAGGAACTGACAAATAACTCATAGGTATAGGTACACACATATTTCATTTATTTCCTTAATCAGAATGCACGGGCACTTTGTTTAAAAACAGCCAACCAAAGAAGAAAGCGCTACCGTGGTCCAATCAGACTCTGGGTCTACAAAAGGAAATGACAAAAAAAAAAAAAATCCCCTGGCCGCCTCGGGACACATTTGAACACGTCTGTCCAACGTCTTCTTTTATAAATAAAGGTTAGAGAAAAATTATTTTAGGTTTGTGATAACAATATTCTCCGCTGTACACACTATTTAATTACCTGTCCCTTGGTAAACAACTTTTAACTAATATTTGCTTTGACAATATTCCCAGATTGGCAACATAAAACCTAGAATAGAAACTGTGTGAGGGGGGATGATTTCTTAGGTTGTGGGTTTAGGATGCATGGTTTATTTGTTTGTTTTCTTTTTAACTCTTCAGCTTCTTGCTCCTTTATCATCATTGACCACAGGAAAACATTTCTTGTGCGTCAGGATGAATGTGCTTGGCACCTGGACTTGGAATTGCTGGTTGAATGAGCTGGAGGTTGATAAAAAGTATTCACATTCACTGAGCACCAATGATATGTCTGGAATTTTGCTAGATGTTTAAGAATTTGTTTTCGTACCCATTTTGTAGTAGAGAAGACTGAGACCCAGAGAAGTCAAATGACTTACCGAAGGTCACACCCTCCCCCGTGATCAGAACCCAGGTCTACTGGCTCCTATCCCCAGGCTCTTTCTGCCACATCACAACTGCCTCCCAGATAAAGTAAAGCTAATTTCATTTGGAGGATTATCTGCTCCTCACCTCCTTGGAATATGCTTATTTTTTAATCTAAACAGGGGATATGTTTGGTGCACAGGAAGCTACATGGACAAGACTGACCTAACCCATCCCTCTTGCTAATAGAAACAAGTAATCTTATCTGTCATTCTATTAAAAATACACCACATTCCTCTATGATCCAGTTTAGAGAATGACTCAAGAAAGGACAAACTGTTTCTGCATCACAGCACCCCCACAGCCTCTATAAAATCATCAAGAGTAAATAAGCCATTGCTTTTCCTCTCCAATATTTCATTCACCGATTCCAAAGCACTTTGTACATGTAATCAATTAGAATAAAGACTCGCAGCCCTCTTGATAGTCTGGCCACTTGGAGGTGAGCCTAAGAAAGTCTGTTGCTGGAGAGCACACACTCGGAGAACACGGGCAGACGGTGAGGTTAGCCGAGAGGAGGGGCCTGCTGCCTGCTGTGCTTTGAGCCCACCTTCTCAGTCTCCTCCCACGGGAGACACGCCCTCTTCGGCGTCTTCCACACTGCTCTGCCGGCATTCTCCTGATGCTCCCAATAGCTAAAGATAATCCCTTTTCCCCTAAACGGGATCGCAACCTAAAATAGATCTGAGTATGTGCCACAGGGCATGAGCAAATGACTCAGAGGGCCATTTCAGATCTCAGAGGCAGGGAAGACTCTTCAGAACACAGGGGCACAAGTCTGGAAGGTAGCTAGTAGTCAAGGAACAAACAAGGGACAGCTGGGAAGAAGAAGTTCCAAAGAATGTGTCACCGGCAGGCTTCTTTGCAGGAGGCAGACTGCTGAGGTCTAAGTACCCCACAGTTCTGTCACTGCACGCCCTCATTCTGGCCTGATTTCTCCAGGTCCTCGTCCTCAGCCTGCACATGAGGCCATAAATTGACCATAAATTAATAGACAAGACCCAGGGGTCCCCTAACCTAGGCATAGGTGGCAAATGGACAGATTTTTTAAAAACATTTTAAAATTTTAAATTCAATTAATTACCATATAATGTATTATTGGTCTGGGAGGTATAGGCCTGTGATTCATCAGTCTTATATAATACCCAATGCTCATTACATCACATGCCCTCCTTAATGTCCATCACCCAGTTACCCCATCCCTCAAATGGACAGATTTTTAATGGGTGGATGTGATTCAGCATCAGGGATGTCAGAAGGGAAATGAGTCTCTCCTAGAAAATGTGTTGAATTGGCACATTTTCTACATTCGAGTTTTGTTTTGTTGCTGTTTTATGTTTCTCCTTTTGTTCTTTCATATCATCTGACTTTGGTTTGTATTCAATTCCTAAGTGTCCAACAGTAGGGCAATAGTTAAGTAAGTCCTAGACTGGACTACCATGCTCCATTAAAATTATCTGGTAAACAATAATAAGTAAGAGCTAACATTTATTGAGGTTTACTGCATGCTGTTCCTATACTCAATATTTTACATACATTTTTTTCATTGAGCTCTCACAATAACCCTGTGAGATAGGCAGTATTATTCCTCTCATTCCTAGGCTGAGGAAGCTAAGGCAAAGAGAGTCCAGAATCACAAAACCATTGAGCAGTGAGGCTGGGATTTAAACCTGATTCTACTGAGTCCCATGTTCTTGAGGCATATATTATTCTACACACAAAGAAGAATGTTCTGAAGCTAATGAGATGGGAAACACTATATAGTGGGATCCAACTTGGTAAAACAGATTCACATTGGTGTGTTTTGGGGTATATTCCCATTGAGAAAACTCTAGAAGGACCACTCAAACATCAATTCCTTGGGGCAGCCTTCCCAGACCGTAAGAAAGCCACGCCACCCTGCCCCTGTTATTCTTTATCTCATTCACATACTCGATCTCTCCTCACGGCACTTATCATTACTTGAGATACACGCTGCATCCATTTATTGCCTAGCCCTCTAGAATGAGGGGTAGGACAATTTCTAGTAAAATGCCTGGCATGTTGCAGGTACTCAATAAGTATTTGTTGACTCGAATAAGAGTACCAAACCCTTAATGTTGGTGGTTTTTTCCTCTCACTGTCAAAGAGGAACAATTTAGATTCTCTTTTCTTTTTAAGTAGGCTCCGCACCCAATGTGGAGCTTGAACTCATGACCCTGAAATCAGGAGTACACGTTCTACCAACTGAGCTAGCCAGGCACCCCAGAACAATATAGGTTCTTGACGCTTAAATGGATTAGGCTTTTTGTTGTTGTTGTTGTTGTTTCAATTTAAATCCTCTGAGTAAAAAAGAAAACAAAATCATTCCACTTAAAGATCAAGAAGTTAAAATGGTCTTCTTCAAAGTGTAGAAAGTTGATCTCCCCCATAGTGGAAGGTTCTTTCAATTGCAGGAGGCCATTGGAAATCTCCTTAGATAAACTTGCTTTGAGTCAAAGGAGACTCATTAATGTTTCAACTGCTAATCCATTTAGTATCCTATTCACCTAGATGGCTTTTCTGAGCACCCCGCTGGTGGTTTTAGAAAGGTAAGCCTTCCAGTCACCAGGCTCAATTTGGCAAAAGCAAAGGACAATTGACTGCAGATGAAGGGACTGACTCAGTTTTTGAGATGAATGGATAGCCGCCTATCTGGCCAATGTGAAAATGAAAGGAACACTTGGAATGAACAGATACCAGTTGGTTACGTGTTATCCCAATTATAAGCTCTCCTTTCTCCTCTAAAAAGGATTAGGCCTCCTGTGAATGGGAATCTTGTCTTCAAGTCCTGTGGCCTTGACCTTCCTTTGTACTGTCCTACTGGTTTAAACCATGCGTGGCAGTTTGAGATTTTGCGTTCTCAACCCTGTCCTTCTGAAAGGCGAGTCTTGTCCCATCAGCAGCCCCACAAACCATCTCAAAGTCAGAAGCAAAGCATCCTTGCATTCCATGCTGAGGAGGGGGCTGTGTTGGCCAGCTTCCTTCTCCCTTCCCCAAACAGAACCAA